TCTTTTCTGCTTTGCCTTTTTTTTTTTTTTCCCCATCAGGGGAAGTAATAGTTCCACACACCCAGGAATTTATGGCTTTACTCTTCTGAAGCTAGCTGGTTTGTTTTTCTGTCTTCCCTGGGCTCCAGGTTAACTGGAAAGAGTTGTCTAGTCTGGGAATCCCAAAAACAGTCTCGCAGGGAGGAGCTGTCGGAGTTAGGATAACTGATGAGCAAATAAGCACTTAAAGTGAGATGGCTCTTTCCTTCTCTCCTATAGATGACTCTAACTACCCACACCGCCAGATCTCTTCATGGCTTCAAGTACTAATCCAGCAAGCTGATTCCTTACAGTACCGTCTCTCCCTCCTTCCCTCCCTGTCTGTCTCCCCCCCTCCCTCCTTTTATCCTCTCATCTCTCTCTGTTTTGGGCTACGGATATCTGCATTTAGAACTCATAAAGACGTTTAGTAAAATATATCTTATATTCTTAAGACACAATGATAGCCTTCTTTGGGGGAGGGTCTGTGTGTTGTCGTTAGGAATTCAATCTAAGGGCTTGTACATGCCAGGCAAGCTGCCAGACACTTACCCATACCTCCAAGCACACCCGTAGGACGCAGAGGTCAGCTGGTGGGCGTGGGTTGCCCCCTTTATCATGTAGTTTCTGGGACTGAATTTAGATGCTTCATAGCAAGCGCTGAGCCATCTAACCCCACACCCCATCACTTATTTATTCATTTATTTGGTTTTCCAAGACAGGGTTTCTCTGTGTAGCTCTGGAGCCTGTCCCGGCACTCACTCAGTAGCCCAGGCTGGCCTCGAACTCACAAAGATCCGCCTGCCTCTGCCTCCCGAGTGCTGGGACTAAAGGTGTGTGCCACCGCCACCCTGCTTACACCCCCGCCATTTTAAAATGTACAACGGGAGGCGTTAAATCCAGGCATCAAACATTTGAAATATTTAAAAAATGGGATAACTCTGAACCCTGTTCGTAATCCTATCTAAAATCTAACCTAGCTGGTCAGTAAGATTTTAGACAAACAACCTAACCTAAAACCTTATTTTAACCCTAACTGTAACTCTACTCACAACACCAACCCTCGTTTTAACACTGTGACTAATCGTGATTCTAACTCTAACCCTGATCTTAAAACCCAATGCTTTTTTGTGTTGTTTTGTTTTGTTTTTGTTTTTTGAGGCAGTGTTTCTATGTGTAGCCCTGGCTGTTCTGGAATTCACTATGTAGATCAGGTTGGCCTCACTCTTAAAGCCTGCCTCTGCCTCCCTAACCCTGAGTGCTGGGATGAAAGGCATGTTCTGCCACCACCTGGAAAATTTAACACTTTTTATAACCCTGACCCTAATATAAATAAATAAATAAATAAGTAAATAAACAAATAAATAAAAGCAAGCAACTGAAAATTTGGGGTAATTTGAGAACTTTAAAGGAAAACTAAGCAAGTGTTGTGTTAAGAATTTACCTTCCCCCCTCAGTACGTATCTGTGGATGCTAACTATAGATATCAGGTCCTGGGAAATTCCTGTTAAACAGCTGTTTCTTTCCTCTTTTTGCTTTCAAGGAAAAGAACATATGAAATATACCTCAGCTAAAGTGTAGTGTAGGGGGTCCTGGGCTCTAAAAAGTCACCCTGGTCCCTGAAGAGACGCCTTCTTTGCATAGGGGGCAAAGAACACATAGGATCTGCAGAACCTAGGTACAGCTGCTTGACTTGGTCCCTTTCCTGTTATCCACAGATTTAAACAAACTAGAGTTGGTTACTTAGGATTTAGCTCTTCGCTGAGAACTGGGGTTGACTTCTCTCCCTACTGCTGTCTTGGAAAGAAGAGAAAGAGAGAAGGAAAGGTAGGATCAGAGGGTTTGGGACACAGACTGAGGCAGTCATCAGAATACAGGGACTACTGCCAAGAGCCGGGGGCAAATACATGTGGCAAACTTCCTGAGGGTCTTGCCAAGCAACACACAGAGTCATTATCTTGTCAAGTGTTGTGCTTGTCCTGTCAGACACTTCTGCGTTCTGCGACCACAGACAAGACACTGCCAGAGAGCTGTTTGGAGGGCAAACAAAACAGCACCTGTCAAAGGCTCCAGCCCAGTCTTAGGGGTGTGAAGACACAGCAGGTCCTCACAGGGCTTCTTGCCACAGAGGGCTGGGTTCCCACTAACTTGGATTTGCATCATCTGAAATTGGCTTTTTTTTTTTTTTTTTTGGTCTGTCTTGGGAATTACTAGCTAACTCAGAACCTGGGAATCCCAGCAGATTAAAGCATGGCTTGGGGCATAATATAAATGGAGATGCATTTTAAGTGCTTGTGTGATGAAATCGTGTCTTATGAAACGGGACAGGAAATATGGGGCTCGCCCTGCTATCCACCTGGGCTCTCACCCCTGCCAAACCCACCCACTAATCCCAGGAGGCCACATAGCACAGGGGATGGTCCTTGGAGCTTTTATGGCAACGATAACTGCTAGGTACTTGGTGTGATTTGAATGTTCGTATCCCTTCAAAACTCTATGTTGAAACTCTTCACTGAGGAAGGAGCCTAGAAGAGTTGGTTAGGAGCCAGGTGGTGGTGGTGCACCTTTGATCCCAGCACTTGAGAGGCAGAGACTGGGGAATCTCTGAATTCAAGGCCATCCTGGTCTAGAGTTCCAGGACAGCCAGGGCAATACAGAGAAACCTTGTCTCAAAAGGAAAACAAAAACAAAAAGAACAAAAGAAAGAAAAGAAAAAAGATGGTTGGTTAGGTCATGGGGGTGGGGCTCTCAAGAACAGGATTAGTGACTTCCTAAAGGAGGCCTAAAGGAGCTTGTGTAACCTTCCTACCACCCAAGAATGATTCAGGAAGGTCGGTCCTATACTGGGAACAGAACGTGGGTTTCATCAGTGCCTTGGTAGGAGACTCCCCAGGCCAGTCCCTTTGCTGGAGCAGCCTGACCTAGCACCCGGTTAACATCCATCTGTAACTCCGATCCCAGGGCATTCGGCTCCCTCTTCTTCTGGCCTCTGAGGGCATCTGGCATGCACACAGTGCACACTCATACACGCAGACAAAACACCCATACACATAAATAAGTTTTTAAAAAAAGTTTTATAAGACCGGATTTAGATTTGAAAGATTTAAGTGTGTATTTAATGATCCCATCTTATGTGTCAGAGAGGGTAGAAATGTTGAGAATAAGACAAGAATAACTTCGTGTTGGAGGTAATGGCAGCGCATGCCTTTAATCCCAGCACTAGGGAGGCAGACGCAGTTGGGTCTGTGATTTCTAGGGAAGTCTCTGTTATATAGAGATACTGTCTCAAAGAAAGCAAAACCCCAAAAAACAAGGTGAGTAACTTCTGACCTCATGAAGCGTTCCTCCTGAAAATGAGACTGCAGACTATCATAAAATGAGGATGGAAGGACCTGAAAGTGGTTGGGCATCCCCCAGAGTCCTGGCTGGAAGCCACGCCCATGGCAGCCACGCCCATGGCATCCTAACAGCATCCCCAGCTGGGTCAGAGGCACTACTTTGAAATGATCTATAGTTTTATTCTCTCCTTTCTTTCTTCCCCTGTCCTTCCTTCTCCTGTCTTTAGCACACACCTTTAATCCCAGCACCTAGGAGTCAGAGGCAAGAGGAACCCTATCACCATAGGCTTCAGGACAGCCTGGTCCACATAAAAGTCCCAGGTCAGTCAGAGCTATGCAGTGAGACCCTTTCTCAAAAGGTAAAACAACAAAACAACAAAATAAACTGGTCAGCTGGCCCTGCATGGTGTTGCCTGCCTATAATACCCTAACTTGGGAGGCTGACACATACCTATAACCCCAGCACTTGGGAGTTGGAAGTAGGAAGTTCAATAGTACAAAGTTATCCTTTGCTATTGAGCTCCAGGCTAGCCTGGGTTATAGAAGACCCTGTCTCAAAACAACAAACAGGCTGAAAGATGCAATAAGCATGATTTCTATTGGCCTATACGCTATTGTTATTTTAATATTGCATGTTAATAAAACTATAAAGATTATAACTACCCAACACACACACACACACACACACACACACACACACACACACACAGTGATGGCTATTAGTGTTACCAACCTGACGAAATCTAAAATCAATGGGAAGATGAGGAGGAGGGAACCTCAATTAAGAAAATGCCTCTGTAAGATCAGGCTATACACAAGCCTGTAAGGCATTTTCATAATTGAAAGGGGAGGGCCCAGCCCATTGTGGGAGGTGGCATCCCTAGGCTGGTGGTCCTGGGTTCTCTAAGAAAGCAGGCTGAGCAAGCCAGGAGGAGCAAGTCAGTAAGCAGCACCCTCCATGGCCTCTGTATCAGCTCCTGCCTGCAGGTTCCTGCCCTGTTTGAGTTCCTGCCCTGACTTCCTTCAGTGATGAACAGTGCAGCCAAATAAACCCTTTCCTCACCAACTTGCTTTTTTTCATGGTGTTTCATCATAGCAATAATGACCCCCACTAAAGCAGACCTTAAAATTAGTTATAAGATTAATAATAATAATAATAATGATAGCAATAAAATGCAATTATTGTTCTCATTTGGTTTTTCCAGACAGGGCTTCTCTATATTGCCCTGGCTGTCCTGGAACTCACTCTGTAGACCAACCTCATAGAGATTCACTTGCCTCTGCCTCCCAAGTGCTGGCTGATATTAAAAGTCATGCACCACCGCCACCCAGCTAGTTGGAATTATTTTTAATCCCTTGGGATTAGACACATTTCAAGATCATCTTGGGGGAAGTGTGTATCCTGGGAGACAGTGAGCCCACTGCCACGCCGGTCTTGAATGTGTTTCAGAGAAGGAAAGGAAGCTACAGATCTTAGGGCTCCCTGGCTTTCTCTTTTATTGCGCAGTTCCTGGTGTCTCAATGGAATTGCCCAGCTCTTCCAGGGGTTTGGGGTGTGAAATGGAAGGTCACGCAAGCCGAGCGGGCGGAAACGCAAACGGGAAAGCCTAGAGGTCCACAGCCGCGAGTGGCGGCGATACTTACTGTCCTCGGGGAGGTTGTTTTCCCGCTCTTCTCTCTCCATCTGCTGGCACCAGCCTTCCATGCGGTCTCGCTCTGCCTGGAGAAGCTTCAGGAACCAGTGGCCATCCCGGTGGTACACGGACCTTTGAACGGCCTCCAGAGGGTCTTCTGTGATAGAGTCAATCCAGGGGTCCGGAGGAGGCAGGATGGAGGGGTCAAAATCCGTGTCAAAGTCATCGTCGGCTGCACAGGCATGGTAATGGTTCCCTGAACCTTGGATGCTGACTGTGGATGTGCTGGCGTCCCGGGAGAACTGTCTGGCCATCGGGCCGGGACACGAATTGTCCTCTATAGATTCCAGGGAATTTTCCAGATTATCATGGAAGTCCATGTCAGCCTGCACTGCGGTGGTCACACTGTTGGACCGAGTGAACCTGCGGAAGCTTTGCAAGAGAAGAGAAATGAGATTTAGTTCCGGAATATTTACGGAAGTGTAACTACATCCTGTTTGTTTTGGTGGATCTGACAAGGGTTGTTGTCGCATCTTCCCAGGGTTCAGAGGAACAGTTGAGGGTGACCTTTGAAGTGAATATGCTGGTTGTTACAGATCTAAATCTTTGCTAAATATGGAATAACAAAGCTTATGTAAGGTAATTATTTCGCGGGGGGGGGGGGGGGACGAAAAGTAGAGCTACTTAAGCCATTATGATATCCAGCATCTGATTTCTTCCCCAGACCTGGGGCAGCTTTCAGGTGGCTACTGGAGAAGCAAAGCATTTCAATTAGATTTTTATGTAATTTGCTTAGAGATGGGGAGAGGAACACAACCTAGACTCGATCAAGGCTGTCTTAATTCCTGGGTTTCTCCCAGGGACACCTATTAGGAAAGAGATTTCCTAAACATTCCTTAGTTTTCCTTAAAATTAAAACCTTTTTTGCTTGGCAAGCGTTCACCTGGGGGACCTGTAGATCCACATAATACATGGTTCAAAGCCTTTGGGATAAAGACCAGCTTACAGTTCTAGAGTTCTCCGTGACTACCCTCCTCTGTACCTTTGCTTTTCCACAATTATTCGTCAAAGGTGTCAAAAGACTGCTTATTACAGATTCAGTTTAGGCATTTGTCTCTCTCTCGCTTGTATTTGAGACAGGATTTCTTTTTATAGTCCTGGATATCCTAGAACTCACTCTGTAGACCAGGGTGGCCTGGAACTCACAGATATCTGTTTGTCTCTGCTTCCCCAATGCTGGGATTAAAGGTGTGCACCATCCCCACCAGGCTAATTTGGGCGTTTTTATATGAATATTCATGGAACAACTTTTTTTTTTTTTTTGACCAAATAGTTCTGTGTATCTCTTGCTTACTCCTACAATGAAGGTGAGGACCATGGCCTGTCACAAGGTTGTGATGGATTCAAGTATCAATTTCTCTTCATCAACAACCCATCTTGTTCTCTAGTCAGTGTGTGTGTGTGTGTGTTAGCAAGTATGAGCACATGTGTACGAGTCTAGAGCAGTATTTCTCAACCTGTGAGTCTGACCTTTTGCGAGGCATAGCCACACTTTCACAGGGGGTCATATATCAGATATTTACATTATGATTCATAACAGTAGCAAAATTATAGTTATGAATAGCAACAAAATAATTTTATGGTTGGGGGGGGTCACCACAACACGAGGAACTGAGGTAAAGGGTTGTAGCATTGGGAAGGTTGAGAACCACTGGTCTACAGGAAGACATTGGGTATCCTATTACTTTCCACCTTATGCCCCTGAGACAGAGTCTCTCACTAAACCTGGAGCCAGGCTGGTGGCCAGGAGGACCCATCGATCCCACCTACAGGGCTGGGGTTACAGCAGGCATGTGGGTGTTGGGGACTTGAACTCAACTCCTCATGCTTAAGCAGCAGCAAACATTTTCCTTTTTTTTTTTTTCTTCCTGAGACAGGGTTTCTCTGTGTAGCCCTGGCTGTCCTGGAACTCACTCTGTAGTCCAGGCTGCCCTTGAACTCAGAGATCCACTTCACTGTGTCTCCTGAGTGCTAGGATTAAAGACATGTACCACCACTACCCAGCAGCAAACATTTTTAAAGGAATTATTTATTTTATTTTATGTGTGTGAGTGTTTTTCATGTATGTATGTATGTGTACTGTGTACATGCCTACTGCCCTCAGAGGCCAGGAGAGGATGTTAAATCCCCTGGAACTGGAGTTCCACATGATTGTGAGCCACTATGTGGGTGCTGGGAGTCGAACTTGAGTCCTGTGCGAGGGCAGCCAGTGACCTTAACCACTGCACCATCCATCTCTCAAGCACCTTAGTGGCTTTGTTATTGTTGTTGCTTGTTTATTTTTCCTTAAACCGAAGCCGCTGTAATGAAGGTGACACAGTAAATTTCTTTGGGTAGCTCATAATTATACCACTTTAAGACTTTGTCTGCCAGTTGGTTTCCAATAAACGCTTCGTATTCTACAGTACCAACCTCAAGGGATTGTGCATTAAGCAAAGTTTATGAAGCTTTAAATACCTCAGACTTTCACAGTTCTCCTGGATTACCCTGTGTGAGCCAATTAAAACTAATGCTTGTAGTCTATCAAAACAAAGAAAGGCCCAAACAACACAGGGAAGCAGTTATGTGAACAAGTTAAATAAAATATAATTAAAAGGAGAAAGAATCATCATCTCAAAAAAAAATGAATAAAAAAAATTCCATGTTTTCCCTAGAGAACATATGTCTGTGTTGATTATTAAGAGTAAAGACAGGCAGAGTGGTGGTGGCTCACACCCAAGTTCCAGCACTTGGGAGGCAGAGGCAGGCGGATCTCTATGAGTTCAAAGCCAGGCTGCTCTATAGAGTAAGTTCTAGGACAGCATGGTAGCTACATACCTTTCTTTAATCCAGTACCTGGATCTATACTAGTCTACACAGAGAACTCCAGAACAGTCAGAGCTACATGGTGAGACATTTTCTCAAACTACCACTACCACAGGCACACACAGAGAAAAGAAATCTTATCTGACATGCTGACATGATCAATTCTGGTTACTTCTGGAAACTGTTAATACTGCAAAGAGCTGTGTGTGTGTGTGTGTGTGTGTTATGTATGTAAGAGAGAGAAAGAAAAGAGCATGTGTGGGGTTTGTGTGTGGTGTGCAAATCTGAAAGTCATGTTAAGGAGTCTTTGTTTTAACAAGGAAGGACAGAAATTTGGGTAAAATGTTCCTTCCAGCAACCACTTCTTGGCTGTCTCTATATTTCTTCCACTTTGTCCCTAAATGCTAAATGTCACTTCCTGATGTTGAGCTTTCTCTCCTGCTGCCTGTGTGTGACTTGGATGGCGTTCATCGCCATGGCTGACATTTTGGCTGTTCTACTAACACAGAACTGCAGAAATACTTAGACTTCTTTGCCCCAAGATCTCTGATTGTCAGGGGATCGAATTTCCAAATTTACTAGTCCCACTTGTGTTCCAGCAGCTCACGCCCAAAGCCAGGGATGAATCTGCTCCATAGAGAAAACAGGGGATCTACTTTCCCCTGTTTTCAGCCACACAAAACTGTCCTACCAGCATTCCCAAGAGCCCTCTCCCGGATGTGGATTGGATAATGTATCCACCTTCCTAAGAAAAATTACTTGGCAGTAGATTAATGGAAGTTTGCAGTTTAGCCACCCAGAAAGAAATAAAAGTCAAGCAAAAATGAAAATGGTTTGGGATTAAAAGCGGCGCCTTTGAACTCCAGCAACCCTGCACAATCTGTGCCTTCTTACCCCTCAAGTCCCATAAGCAATGCCTCCTTCCACCAGAGCCTTGAAAGGGTGCGCAGCGCCACAGAACTGCTCTTTCAAGCACAGAGGCCCTTGTGGATGAAGGGTGTGGTCAAGTTGTGACTGTTTTTAAATTGTAGATGGGACCGAAGGAGGGCGTTAGTGAGATTAACCCTGTGAATGTAGTAACCCTAAAGCTGAGCCTGATCTAGCTGCTCCCAAACCCACACTCCCCTGTAGGCACAGTGTGTAATGGTTACACTTCTGAACAAGGCCAGCCAGTTCTCAAGTCTAGGATGCAGAAAACCAGTGATGAGAGACTGTATCAACTGGTGCTGAGGACAAAACCCTGTGTGTTCTGAACAGCAAACAACAAGCCTCTGACTAGCACTCCCAGCTGGGGCCCTTGTGTCTGTGAAACAAGTGGGTATTTGCACTAAAGGACTCTACACCATTGCCACAATGTTTCTATATGGAACAGGTTACAAATGAACATACAGGTTCTTGTGCTACTGTTTAAAAAAAAAAAAAAAGAAAAAAGAAAAAGAAAAAGCAAGAAAGAAAAAAGAAAAAAAGGAGTCATAGCTAAGTACAATTAATTGTCATCTTCAGGGTGTCAGTTTGTGTAAGGGCTGGAGTTCGAATCCAGGGCCATGCACATGCTACACTCCCATCCTGACCGACGTCTCTGTGTTAATGGTCGGACCTGGGTGGCATTCAACTAATGACATTCAAACCATGTGGGATTTTAAGGAGTCATTCCACAGCAGAGCCTCCAGCATCTGCTCACCCCTCTGTTTGCATAACAGTTGCTTTCAGAACCAAATCTGGCCACAAGTTGGAAATGTAAATCTTAGGCTGCTCTTCTTAGGAACCCTTAGCCCTTCCAGCCAAGCTCCTGTCAAGGCTTGTGGGTGACCTGAATGTGTTTTCCTCAGTGGAGATGCCCATCTTGGTGCTTTGTGAGCAGGCATCATTTCTGACCAAGACCCAGCATATAACTCATTATACAAAATAAAAGCCAAAATAAAGGGGTGTGAGGTCGTGACTCCTTTAAAAATGTATTCTTTAGTCAGAGCTTCCAAGCTGAAACTGAGCAGAAGACATTGGTGATAGGGCCCTCACTCGGAGAACTCCCTGGCTGTCGTGAACGAAGCTCGAAGCTCATGCTGTCCTAATCTAGCCTGCAAAGCTGCTCACAGGATGCATCCACTGCTCATCTGAACTCAGTGCTCAGAGATCTCTTTAAGATGAAGACGACGACGATGAGGCAGGTTTCCTATATGAAGACTCGCCCCATGCCGGCTATGGGAGATGCATTGACAGAGAAAGGCAGAGAGGATGAGAACTTAAGGACAGTTTTTGAGAAGACAGAGGAATTGCTGGTCATCTTTTAGGATGAGCTGGGAAGCCGCTAACATCCCTGATGGCTGTCTCTAAGGGAAATTTGGTGCTATCTCTCGAAAGGTCCAGAAGAAATGGCTTTGCTTTCAGAACTGGAGCTGAGTCGGTCCTCGGCCCCTGACTCCAGGTAACCAACACAGATGTGAGGCATCTCACTGACACTTAAAAAAAAATTAATGCTTATTTTATGTCTGTTTTGTGTACTACCTGTATGCAGTGCCTAAGACATCCGGGAGAGGGCGTCAGACCCCCTTGGAACTGTAGTACAGACA